CAATACCAATCAGCACCGAGCCGAAAATGTTTTGGCTTACAGGGGAAATTTAAAAAAAAAAAAATTAAATGGTTCAAGAGGTTAAATATTTTCGGCAGGGCCCCGCTTCCTTTCGCAGGGCAGATCTGTGAGCAGATGCTGTGCCCAGGCAACGTGCAGGAGGATGCGGTGTGTGTTCCGTCGCTTTCTTAGCTGGAGGATGTTTGCTGTTGAATCCGCTCCCGAAAGCATCTGCGTGTCTCTCTGCCTGGGACGGTGGTGTCAGCCAGTTACTGCTGCTCTGAATAGCAGTTGGGCCGAGCAGTATGTTCGCCTTGCGCTCGCAGCTTGTCGCTCTCTTCCCTTCCTAGCCCGGGCCTGCCAACAAACCTCTCCTCTGGATGCAACTCGGAAAGAAAGCTGTGACTTGCGGTGGCCGCGGGGGGGATTAGCATCCAACATTAAGGGCTTAACTCCCCGGCTCATGCCCGCCAGCCGGGGGTTTCAAGTGACTCCACGATGCCTTTTTCGTCCGCCCTCAGCAGTTTGCAGCCTGCTTTAATAACGTCCTTTACACACCATTCTCCGGGCGGTGTTTGCTAAGCTGGAGCTTGCTCCTGGTACTTGGTTTTAGGCTGTTGGCTGAGGCTCCTGGGGACGCTGGTCACATTTATCAGGGCGGGGGCGGAGCAGAGGAAGGAGGAAGAATTTCTAGGTTGGGCTTATGAACCGAGTTTTTCAAAATTCTCAGCGTGTTAAAAAAAAAAAAAAAGAGAAAATCTAGCCCTTCGTCTCTAGGTTACGTTTGCCTCTGCTGTGGCTGAGCTCATGGAAAATCGCAGCTTAGCTCCTGTGCTCGGTGCCAAGATTAGTAGGTTTAAAAACTAACTGATAACATCTTTGTAAACTTGGAGTCATTTCTTTAAAGCCTGCTGATCCTTCCAGCCTGGATTTTGGAGCTTTCCTAGAGGTCCAAGCGAGCCAAGCGGAACGACGGTATCTGCCCTGAAAAATCACCGCGTTGCCTTCAGATACCCTGGGGGGAGGAAGGAGGCTGCTGCTCCCCGAGGCCCCGAAGGGTGTGTGTTGGGATCCTTCTCTCTGTGGCTAACCAGATACACAGCACACGACGACACTCTGAGTGTAACTTATAATAATCACTGGTTTTATTTTTAAAAAATTACAATAGAAAAGTACCTTTAAACATATTTCCAAAAGCGGAGTAGACAATGTGGAAGCTTCTCTCCACGAGACAAAGTACAGGAAATAGTTTGCTAAGAGTTAGTCCATCTCTTGGAAACGCTGGTATCGTTCCTTTTAGAGCCACTCAGAAGTTTGTCTTGGAATTGATTTCTTCTCACGTCACCTTTATCAATCCCACTATTTTACAGAAGACCCCAACAGGACAGTTTCCCACTGCACCATCTCATCCCCTGCCCCGCCCTGGCTCCGGCAGCCGAAATCTTGGCCATCATTTTTTTTTTGTCCCACCCACAGAATAAAAGGAAGGAGGAAGAAAAAAAGGTTATGATGTTTAACAAGGCCACCAGCACCCTGTGTCTTCAGCGCAGCTGGCAGCGTCTGAGCTCAGCGTACCCTGCAGCAGGGATGGGGGGGGGGGAAGGCAACTGAAAGGAGAAGTTTTGCACCTCCTTTTGCAAGAAACTGAAACCTGCTTGAGGTTTTTTTTTGCTTTGCTTTGCTCTTTCTTTTTCCAAATTCCTCCTGGAGCAAGGAGAGACGCTAGTATGTCAAGCGATCTCTTTGCTGGTACGCTACCTCCGAAAAGGTTACAGATACCGCCCCAAGGGTGTTAGCAGCTCCCTTCTTGTCTTTGCACATGGAAACATAGAAACGCTACACAGCGAGCCACCAGTGCGGCATAACCTTGAAGCTAAAACCCCAGTTCAGCCCAGCGCTTTGGCATAACGGTAGGCACACGTCTAAACCCCTCAGCTCGCTCGGAACTTGTGCCCAACCTCAAGTAAGCTGGTGAACCGAGGGTTGCTTGGTTGGTTTGTTTTTCTCATACAGCAGTTTACGTTGCCCGTAACAACTTCAAGCAGTCCTGGCAAGAGGAGGAGGCAAATTGTCACCTTGCTACATGTGGGGGCTGTCTCTGCCCATCCCTGATCTGAGCCGTTGTACCATGCCGAAGCTTTGCACAGCAAGCTATTAACATAGCCCTAAGGTAAAAAAAGTCACCATAAGAAAGTTTCTGATTGTCCTGCCTGGTTGTCGTTTGGTACAACTGGGAAGAAAACGGTAATACTGTAAGTGTCCGCAGGCGTCTTGCCAGGCGTCAGTTCCTGTGCCAGAGGGAGGACAATTCCTACCAACCCGAATCGTGCGTCTGGACATCCGCACGCACATGAACATCATGC